GCTCTTCAGGAGCCAGTTCACAAGAGAGCAGCCACCCGGCAACCCCAAAACAATAAGCCCTCCCATATAATAAGCCCAAAGCCATATTTTGTAAGTAAAAAGAAAATAAGACCCTATCGTATTTTCGGGGAAACACAGTAAGTGTAAATACTATTGCTATTTCAGGAATAATTATTGGTGACAAAGAGTATGTCCTGAGTGAATAATTTTTTAAAAAATACAGTTGGGAAAAATAAATATATTTGATCCTGCAGGAGCATAACAGCTTTATTTTAATGTTTGGCATTTATTGACAGGTTTAGGATACTGCTTTGCCTTTCTTCCAACTGTTACCATTCTGTCTCAATACTTTGACAAAAAGCGCTCATTGGTCACTGCCGTGGCTTCTACAGGAGAATGCTTTGCTGTTTTTTCTTTTGCACCAGGTAAAAAAAAATAAAAACATGTTTCTTGCTTTTTCTGACATGGGGCATCTTAATATTGTATACTTCTTCACCTATTTTGGGTATGGCTATATCAAAACATAGTCCTGCCCAAACCTAGCTTCCTTGGGGCCATGTTAAACTTTTATTTTCAATTTACAAATATATTAATTGTAGAGCACTAACCCTTATGGCTCCAGGGACTGGTTTTGGAAGAAAAACTATACTCCACAGACCGGAGGGGGGATGGTTTCATGTGCGCAACTTGGATCTCACGCAGATACAGATTAAGCTTAGCCAGTTTGCCTGCTGCTTGCACGGCCTGGTTTCCAACGGACCATAGATTGGTACCGGTCCATGGCCAGGGGCTGAGGATCCCTGTTGTAGAGAATGTACAACTTCAAATTAATGTTCCTCTTTGGGTTACTTTGTAATAGAGCAGAAAAAGAGATCAATGATGGAGAAAGGATTTCCATCTTAATCATTTTCAAAAATGCAACATTTCCAGTTCTTAAAGAGCATACAGTTCTGCCAGACATAATAAAAGTCATGGATTTTTCATTTGAGCAGAACTGTGCTTAATCCATTAAATCATGCTTCAAAGGCATCAACTGTATATTGTAAAGAAGTAAATAGATAATTGAGGGCCATTTTGATTTAGTGGATAAAAGCATTAGACTAGAACAGTGATGGCAAACCCTTTTGTAAAGGTGTGGCAAAATTGTGTGTGTGTGCCCACACCCACAATTCATTGCGCTCCACCCATCTCATGCGTGCGTAACCTCTCCCCACCTGGGGGGGGGGGTTTCGGGCTCCCCAGATTCTGGAGGCTTTCCTGAAGCCTGGGGAGGATGAACAACGGGCCAACCAGAAGTTCGGAAATGATTCGTTTCCGGAGGGCCTCAGGGGTGTGAGGCCGCTTTTGCCCTCCCCAGGTTTCAGCCAACCAAGTTTGTTTGTGCCCAGCATACATCATAGGATTGTTGTGGGGAGAATCTCAAATACTGTTATTGGAGATCCTGCAAAGAGACAAGATATCAATTTAATTGCATTCTCAACTTCAAACATATTTTCTAGAAAAGCATAGCAAGTTCTCGTAATGCACGCTGTTTTCGTTAAGAGTCAGAGACCAATCCATTCATTATATTCCAAGTAATCAGAACTTCTTTCCCATCTTAAGAAAAATCAAACCTTTGCTAAGTAAGAAGTGAGAGTGGGAGATTTAGAATAATAAAGGACAGGATGACAAAAGGGGTCGCCAGATCATTACATTGAAAATATAAAGAAAAGACACTGTAAAAGGAGGTTTGTGCCTAAATTTGTTAGAGACACGATTTAGGGACACGATTTAACTCCTTCGTTATTCTAGACACGAGTTCGGACTACTATAGAGCATGTTCTCACTTTGCTACTATTTTTTCAATAAGCAGAGTAAAATGACATACAATCTGTGCAAAATTTCCAAGCTAAAAATAAAGCTGAGTTGCAATTCCAACTGCAGTATTAATAGTAGAAAGGCTGTCTATGTAGTTATCTGGAAGATTAATGCATCATATCTGAAATTCAAACCCTGGGGGTCTTAGCACATGTCCAAATGGCTTGATGCAATTCTAGTAGGCTACTAGAATTCATCAGGCCTACTATACGTGCTTAGATGAAATGTGCTTTCAGTCTTCCTCCACACCAGAACCTTCATTTTGCCCATACTTAGTGTCTCCCACTTCTGTTATAGCTCCCATATCTATTGCATATAATTCATTCCATAATGGTGTAGGCAGACACTCATTTTAGTTTCACAGAGTATAGATTTGGAAAAGTAAGAGAACTGTAATATATATATAGAGAGAGAGACAGACAGACATTATGATCTCTGGAACTTAAAATATATTACCCACTTAGCTTTCATTAGCCTCTGCTAACATGTTCAGAGTGTAAAAACTACTATTGAAGATATCTGCCTTTATACATCATTAATCAATTGACCATTGTCCGTGTGATAGGCCCATCCACCCGCCTCCCACCCATCCACCTTCAGATATATATCTGACCACTTAACACACACACACACACACACACACACACATATATATATAGTGTCACAATCCCTGGTATGCCCCAATCATGGGAGGAAGCTAACTGCTTCCATTCTCTGTCCATCGGCTCGTCACAAGAGACCATCACGACAGAAACCCAATATTTTTACTGTTGCTTTTGTTACATGTGTATTGTATTTGTGCTGATAAATAAATAAAGGGAGACCAGTATAGATCTATTTCAAGCTATTTAGCTCTCATCAGCTAGCCATACCCTTACTTCGCACAGTTTCGAATCCCAGTAAGGGTATGGCTAGCTGATGAGAGCTAAATAGCTTGAAATAGATCTATACTAGTCTCCCTTTATTTATTTATCAGCACAAATACAACACACACACACACACACATATATATGTCTAATATGTGCTGAAGTTCAGCAGCACCAAAGCTTACCTGGGCGAAGAAACACTTGGCATAAAAATATGTTTTGTAGTTTGCTTTTCCATTTCTCATGCTTAAGCTACCCACGTGCCCCAAAGTAATTAGCCAAGAATTCTATGCCTGCCCCTAAACTACATGAGTGCAAACCATGGCAATATTTTAACTTATTGTTATAAACATGAGTGTTTTTCCAAGTTCATACGTACATTTTACTCTTTCCTATGCTATAGCTATCACTGCTTCAAAGGAATACTTTGGTTGGAGAGCCAGCCTCTTGTTTGTTGGTCTACTGCAGCTTGGAATTACTGCCTGTGGATTGCTGCTGCGACCCATCAAAATCATAGCAGAAGAAGTGAAGGCATCACCAGTGGAACAGCAAAGAGAGACAAAGTACATGCTTGAAAATGAACAGACACGCACCTCAATAGACTCCATTGACTCTGGAGTAGAAATAACTACCTCACCTCACAACATACCTAGAGATGTCAAGTTGGAACTTAAAAGTGAAGAGCCAAAGGAAAACACGGAGATGTTCATAGCCAGTAATGGCATTCCTACCAAGGAGCCCAAACCAAAACTCCTAGACTTCTCTGTGTTGAAAGACTACAGCTTTATTTGTTACGCACTTTTTGGTCTATTTGCTACTTTGGGATTCTTTGCTCCTTCCCTATACATAATTCCTCTCAGCATGAGCCTTGGCATCAGCAAGGATTGCTCTGCTTACATCCTTTCCGCCATGGCCATTGCTGAGGTCTTTGGTAGAATCGGCGCTGGTTGGCTGCTCAACAAAAAGCCCATCAGAAAAATTTACATTGAGCTCATTTGTGTCATTCTGCTGGACATTGCCCTTTTTGCCTTCCCTCTCGCCTACAATTTTTGGGGGCTAATGATGTGTAGTATTTTCTTTGGATTCATGCTCGGGACGGTAGCGGGCACACACATTCCAATGCTGGCTGAAGACGATGTCGTCGGCATTGAGAGGATGGCATCTGCTGCCGGGGTCTATGTATTTATTCAAAGCTTAGCAGGGTTGGCTGGACCACCCCTTGCAGGTAACCTTAAGCAGCATTTCAGAGATCTTCTTACCTCTCTCTCTACTTACTACCCATGCTGGGGCTCATAACAATTGCACCCCTGAATCCCAAGGTTCAATGTGTCATCATCAGGTAGAGCTGAAGAAAGCTCTCACTGAAAACATGAAGAGATATTGCCAGACAGTACTGACAAGATTCTACCTATTACTTGACTCAATATTAGGCAGCTTTCTACTGTGATGGTAATATGTACTAAACCGCAGTTGAAGAACAAGTACAAAATGGAAAAGGTGCTCTTATGTGAGCAGGGAACATTCGATTCAGCTTATATAGTATATGTAGGGAAGCAGAAGGAAGTTGAAATACTCCTAGGTGGCAAGGACTCTAGGTCAATAATAGAAGGCAAGAGTTTACATTAGCAGCCCATATAGATTTATAAGCATTGCATTTTCATCAGCCTCCCTAAAGGAGCCACTCAATTTATTGTTTAAAAGAGACATGGTGGTGCAGTGGTTGGAATGCAGTATTGCAGGCTGATTCTGCCAACTGCCAGAAGTTTGATTCTGAACAGCTTAAAGTTGACTCAGCCTTCCATCCTTCTGAGGTCAGTAAAATGACCCAGATTGTTGGGGACAATAGGCTGACATTGTAAACTGCTTAGAGAGGGCTGTAAAAGCATTATGAAGTGGAATACAAATCTAAGACTTAGATAATAAATAAACTTGCTTCTCCCCCGACCAATATTTAAGCACTACTTCTGCTTCCAGACATTATCCATCTGCATGGGAGGTAGCTGAACAGTAGCATCCTTACTAATCATATTATTAGCAATTGAAATTTTAATTTACAGAGGGCTTCAAGATTGGTATATTGTTTTATGCCTCAAACTCTTATGAAGTGGGTAGTTGTTCCTATTTTACAGATGGCTAATAGTGAAAGAGAGATTGCCCAGCGCCAGATTAATACTTGAACCCAGCTCTTTACAAGCGATAGAAATCTCTACTTGCCTGACCGTAGCCACATAGATTCTTATTCTGAGTTTAGCAATATGCAGGCAAATAAGGAATCAGAACAAAGTTTATATGTGGAAGGTAAGAGAGGAATAGGAAACCTGTAGCCTTCTAGGACTATTAAGGGATGATGGTGGAAGGTGCAGTTCATAAACACCTGGGAGAGCACAAGTTGTCCAGCCACAGCTTAAAGAATGTGAAAATTAAATAAGACAAAATCAGATACTCAACCTGAGTGAAACACTAATTATTAAAGAGCAAATTACCATTTGACTTCTATGCCCAAGACAAACAACAATCATCATTTTATCTTCAAGACTGTTTAGAAATAATTGCAGTAGTGAGTTGAATGGCTGCACTTCACGGAGCACCTAAATACCTTTTCTAGAATTGTTTACAATTTTGAGCTATTTAGGATGGACCCAAACCCCAAGCATGCATCATAGGAACAGAGTTTGATAAAGTCATTTCCCTTCTTTTTAAATAATGCAATAATTATTTAAGTAATTCACTTAATTAAGCCCAGGTGCCCCTCTGGTTGTTCTTAAACTTGGAAGATTAGATTTGGGGTTCTATAAGTCATGCTCAGGAAAGAAGAAAATGTTTCAAAGGATTGTGGCAAATTGGTATGTATAAAGTTTTTCATAACATGTTCTTGTCTTTCTGCTTTACAGGTGTACTAGTGGATACCACAAAAAAATACAGTTCTGCATTCTATTCCTGTGCTGGTGGAATGCTGCTGGCTGCTGTATTCCTTTCATTGGTGAGACCTTGCAAGAATTTAACATGCCAAAGAAAGAAACAATCAATACAAGAGAATGTCTCGGAGTCTCAGGACGATTTTATAGAAACTGATTTTGGGAAAACAGAGGATTCTGTAAAGGGCTGTGATAGCATAGCTTGAATTTTAACACATAATATTTAGAGATTGGGGAAAAACAAGTCAGCTCAAGTCTATCTTTTAAAACTAACACGTTAAAGGGAATGCAACACAACAAAGGTGAACATGTTAGCAATCATAAAGACTGGTTAATATTATCTATTATTTGAAAACACCTGGCATGTGAAGTTCCAAGAATTAATTCAATGCACACTCCTACTGAGCATGAAGTTGTGATTCAAATGTACTTCTTAATGGGAAGCAGGCAACACATCTCAATTCCAAATCATAGTGAAGAAGCAAGATGTTAGGCGAAAGAAAAATCAGATATGGCTTATCCAACTAAAAGCTAAAGTTTGCCATGTTTTTGTTGCCTAGGAGGTTCTGACACCAGAAATGTCCTTCTCTTAATTAACAACAGAGGAATATGCCACAAAATAACTATTCTGATGAAACCGTCTTGAAATGTTTCTTGTCATCAAATAAGCATAGCTGCTCTGTGTTTTAATTTTGGAGAACAGGTATTACATTTATACTTGGAACAGGTAGCCAATTCTCCTTGTCCTGTGACTTGAATTGGAATGCAGCAACATATGGGAAGATGTTAACTCTTGTCACTCCTCACTAGTGAATTAACGAATAGCTTTTGTGTGCTTTTTAAAAAAAAAGTTGGTTAAACTCCACAAATGTTTGGAGGTTACCAGTTCCATTTTAGGGCCAGTTACTTTAGCTTTTTCATAACAGTATTACCTTAAAATGCAGATGAAAATTATTGCATAATCTTAAGTATGATTATTTATATGTTGTACTGTTTTCTTCAAGATACACTACTGAATGTGCATAAATTTGCAGCCTTGGTGAGACTTGCTTTTCAAATAGATATGTTCAAAATCACAATATCAGGCATAGAAGGATTCTAATTCTGATTGTGCATGAATAGGATTGTACTTTTAAAGACTTAATGGTACTTGCCTTTTGATATTCAGCCAAATCACTGATTCTAGCAGTCTTAGTTTTTTTTTAAAGTTATTTATTTTTATTTTGTGATCAACTTTTATTTAAAACAAAGCATATGCCCCAAACTCTTTCCAAGTCTTCTTGATGCATTTCTAGTGTGTAGACTTTTAGGTATAGATAATAGTGCACCTACTTGGTTTTACAGTTATAAAAGTGTTGCAACAGGTACCTTATAAAGAAATGAAACAAAGATACTGTGTGATGTTTTGGAGTTCAAAGACTGAAACAACCAGACTGTAGGCTTAGTTAATAAGACTAAGATAGTCTGTTCTGATGTAATGGAGGCTGTGATTTAAATCCAGTAAAACATTTCAAGCATGTATGGAATTGCATTAAGATTGTTTCAGTATAGATAGTCCTCATGACCACAACTGAGCCCAACATTTCTGTTGCTAGGCAAGACATTTGTTAGGTGAGTTTTGGCCCAGTTTACAAGCTTTCTTGCCATAGTTGTTCAGTGAATTACTGCAGTTGTTAGGTGAATAATATGTTTGTTAAGTGAATCGGGCTTCCCCACTGACTCTGCTTGTCAGAAGTTTGCAAAAGGTGATCACATGATCCCAGGATACTGCAACCGTCATAAATATGAGGCAGTTGCCAATCGTCTGAATTTTGAACGTGTGACTATGGGGCTGCTGCAACAGTCGTAAGTGTGAAAAAGTTATAACTCACTTTTTTCAGTTACGTTGCAACTTTGAATTGTCATAAATGAATTGTTGTAAGTCAAGGACTACCTGTGAAAGGTTGATGAATCAGGAGAAAAACATTTTTATTCTGAAAACATTCCAGTCTTTAGTTATACTCAGAGGTGAGTTCTAGCCGGCATTACTGCTGGTTTGCTTGTGTTCGCACTTTGCGTGCGCTGGCTGTGTGCTGTGTGTGCATGCGCGGTTCAAAGGAAATTGTTCTGCGCATGCGCAGAATTCCACAAAAAAAGATGGCGGCGACTGGGAAACCGGTTCATGGGCATGGCCAGCCTGTGTCACTGTCAGTTTTGCGATCCAGGCCAGCATACCACTACCAGTTTGGCCGTACCGGTAGGAACCCACCTCTGGTTACACTATGAATCACCTTTCAGGTAGGTCTGTGTCTGTAGGCTTTAGTCCTCTATAGACAAGCTTGAGAACGTCCATGCTGTATTTTTGGGACCTGTTCTTACCTTTGTTAACTTCCACACTCATTCACGTGTAGGTCTTTTATAAGTTAAATAGAAGCTCTGATTGTTCCATCAGTGCCTTCATATGAAGGTTGTACATTTTGTCATTCCATTTGTATAACCACAGTTGTCCTTACAGTAGAGTGCATTGAAAGGTGAAACTATATAATCTGATGCCTCAGTCATCTACTTTCTTGCAATTCCCACTGGGCAGTATGCCTCAATGCAGCCATATTTGAGATCTTAAAGGGGCCAACTGCATAAATGAAGCCTTGGAGAGAACTATGAGGGTTATCTGATTTGTTTAAAAAATCCAAGTGACCACAGAAGGGCAGCAGAGATACTTAAACCTAACTATTGGCTGTCATCTAGTGGTCATCCAGATTTTTTACAGCTATATCTGGTAACCCTGTTTTTTTTAAAAAAAAATATTCCATTCATTGCAGTTACATAGTGCATGGATCAATGTAACAATCACTGCAGAGAGAAAAATACAACAAAGTTAATATTTTTAAAATGCAATTTGTGCAGCTCCCATTTTCAGTTAACTTTTGTATAAAGAAAGGGAATTCTAAGAGGTGGTGGCCACATGTTGACTATTGTTCACTGACTTAATAAATAGCCACATCAAAGGTGACACGAGCTTTCTTACCCCACTTTTATAAGTCTTTTTATCACTAGACAATTCAGGGGGAAAATGAGAAAATAAAAAGATTTTGTTTGAATACAGATTCAAAATGTTTATTGATAATCCATTGATACTGTATGTCAATTGTTCTGCTAAAACTATACAAATCAAGGTCATTGTGATTCCTCATAGGGTTCCAGAATCCCCTACCAAAAAGCAAATGCAACCTAATCTGTACCATCACAATGTACTTAAGACATAAATGTATGAATGCTGGCAAATTTTTAGTGAATCATATATAAGACATTCTGATTTTAAATATTCTTATAAAACAATAAAACCATGATCTTAAGAGCTATTTACTTGCACTATGTTCTAGTAAAATCCTTTAGTTTTGTCATCAAGGTGCTGTAGGCACAGGAACATGGTGTCTCTATATCCGTCCTGGTGGAAAATTCGGAAGACCATGTTGTAATTTGGGATCGTTTGTTTACTTTTAGCACTTTATCATGTACAGTAGAGCCTCGATAAACTGCAGAGAAGACTGAGAGAAGGGAATAACTAGATTTTCTGGATTTTTTTGATGGCAAAAAAGGAATAAAACATGAGGCATGTGCCAATGAAATTAGTTATTTGTTTAGCAAGCATATCATATACTTGTTATATTCCTAGTAAAGCAGGAAATGTTAGGTAGGCATAGAAATGTAATAAAATGTTTGGAATAAAATGCCAGTCACTGGCATATGCTGATTCCATACCTATTTCTGGTCTAACCTACCTAAATTACTGTAGTTTGAATTCTAATATAAAATTACCACAATAAGGCACATGCCTCATAGCAACACTGACTGCTTGCAAATAAAACAGTAATAAAAAATCATTTTCCAACCAATGCAAACATTTACCCCAACAAAACCTTCAGTGTGAAAGTGATTAAGAACTGGTCAGTTTCATGCAACCTCAGATACCAGAAGGGTTATAATCAATTAGGGTTACAAAGCTGAGCTTGTGAAATTGCAGTTAACACTTTCATGGGAGGGCAGGGGTGGAGAAAATAGCTAAGTGTCATGGAAAGGTGTGTATGCTTGGGGGCAGTGGGGGGGGGAGAGATCAGGTACAGACCCTGTATGAGAACTTTATCTGAATGAGAAGGCACCACTGTGTCTCTCTCCCTCTTTCAGTCACTTGATCCCCTTAGTGACTGTTGCTTAGTGATCATTTCACCACAACCAATTCCAATCACTAAACTAGGACAACCTCTATGAGAAAAAGCATATTGTGTACTTGACATGTAGTTGGAAAAATTAGTTGTGTCTGCAAGTTAACGAAGTTCTACTGTAATGTTACAAATATTTCCAATACTAAATAATGCAATGTATGTAACTGACCGTATCTGAAGTTACTATGTACATACTATATTAGTGTGATCAGAATGCATGCATCTGAATAAGATATTCAAAATCAGGATTAAACATAGTTGAAGCAGGATGCTGATTTATTCTGTACTGTAAATTAGTGGATTCTGGAAGTGCTACCAAATAATGAAATTTGCAATAAACTTTTTTTTTTAAACGAAAAAATAAATTTTGGTTTAAACCTTCTTTTGACCCAAACTTCATCAATTGTCTTTTCGTTAGTGCTATCATCCATTCTTAGAGTTGGTCAAAACTATCATCAGCATGGCATTTGCAATCCCCATTGTCAACTCCTACTTGGTCTTTATTTTAACTTCCCTCCAAGGTACGGAGGGAAGGTTTTATATATCTGAAGCTTCACCTGGAATGATGTCAAATCAGAAATATCATAAACTTGGCCCAGATCAGGATTATTTTAGACTCAGTCATGAACTGAAGAAGAGGTGAGATGAAGACATGGGAACCAAACAGTAAAGCATTTTTATATGGCATACTGTACGTATGCTAGCGATAGGGCTACTTGGCCTTTACCCAAAGCTTGTAAAACCACAAAGTACTCATCCTAATATGGAAATTTAAATCTAAACATACATTCTAGAAACAACTCGTCATGAGACCCATTCCAGTTAAGGGAACTGCTGGCCAATTCTTTGGATCTATCCATGGGGCTTCCCCATTTGCCCCATGGCTTCTAGGATAGCAATGGCAAACTTTTGGGGCTTGGCATGTCAAAAATCTGGAAAATAACTAATCAGATTCTGCTGACCTCTCTCTCTCTGTTGCTGTCTCTCTCTCTCTCACACACACACACACACACCCTGAGTAACAAAGAATTATCTTTCCTCAATCTTGGTTACTGTAAACAGCAACACTCAGTGGCAGGCTGACGCTGGCCTTGAAGTAGAGGCCTAGGCCGCAGTGTCAACCCTAGCAGCACTTCTGTCGCTCAAAGATACCTTTTCCAAGACACACACACCATTCTTCCAGCAGCCTTCCAGCTTCCAAAAATCTCACCTGAGAATGGAATATGCTTTTGAAAACAGTTGTTGAGTAAAAGTTGTTGGCATGTCACCTCTGGCACCCAAGTCATAGGCTGACCATCACTGTCCTAGGATGTGCTATCAACTCTGAGTCACAGGCCTTTTTCAGCCCTGCAGCATTTTCTTCAGTGGCTCTGGCCATGAAATCCCCCAGGGCTTTGCTGTTTCCAACTTCCCTGCTGTTTGCTGCTTGGGTCGAATGTGGCATTCTGACCTTAAGAGGATTGTCTCTCTTCAGTGCACCTTGCTTGCCTGTTTCCGCCCACTTGCTCTTTTGCTTTGCTTAGGCTTCTTCTGCCACTCCACCCAAATAAAGGTCGTTTTGCAAAACTTTCAAGACTGTATATCTGAGACTCTTTTTCTTATAAAAATGGATCAGTCTGTATGTGGTGATCCTGGACCTTTCTCTACAGTCATTCCACCTCAGTGCAAGTCTTTCTAAGATGAATACGCCTGGCAAGAAAAGTATTTTTTTTTTTACAAAGAACAAACATATACTCACCATTATCCCCATTTTGATTACAAAATACATATGGGATGAAGGATGGCGATTAAGGACACAAAGAGTAGGTACCCATCATACTTTCCAGATAATAAACCAAAATTCATCAAAGTAACCTATGTGAAAGAACCCACAATACATTGAATCATACGTGGCTGGGTTCCCACAAATAAATTACCGTAAGCTAATTTCTCCAGCCTGGTATACTTCAGATCAGGGGTCACCAACCTTTTGGACCTCAGGGACCATTACATTCATAATTTTAAATCCCGCGGGCCACTAATATGATCTGCCTAATGAACGAATGGATGGGCATGGTCATGTGACTGAGTGGGCATGGCCAACAATGTCACTCACATCAAGGGGGGCCTCACTAGCCTCTACTCGCCCCTCTTCTGCCAGCCACTCCTTGCCTGCCCAGGCTTCTTAGGACCCCAACAGGAAGCAGTTGTTGGAGCTACAGTAAGCAGCCACCATGAGAAAGAGTTGGCAAAACAACTGGCTCAGTGCAAATTGCATTTGACCGAGAAGGAGGCTCAGCAGAAGCACCTCACTGAGGACTACAAGCATTAGTTTCCAAGCAGAGGAAAGACCTGCGGGAGTGCAAGGCCAGGTACTGCCGCCTGGAAGCTCAACGGGTTGAGATGGTCAGCCAGTTCCAGGCCATGATGCTGTCCCACTGGAACAAGGCCCTCCAGCTCTTCGCCACCAGCAGCACTTCCCTCCAGCCTTTGCCCAAAGCCCTGCACCAGGAGACTGAAGCAGACTCCAAGTCAGAATTTCTGTCCCCTCCAAGCCACACAAAAAGACCCTGAAGGGGGAGACTCTCTGCAGCAACACAAATGTTCATTGCATGTATCCGGCCCAAGGGTCGTAGTTTGAGGACCCCTGATTTAGTGCAATATAAAAAATGCAAATAATTTTTCTGCGCACCATCAAAATTTTCTCTCGGACAACCTGTAGTCCATGGACCACCAGTTGGTGACCACTGCTCCAAATGATTAGGTTTATAGCTCACATCCATAGCAACAAGCTAAATGAAAGCCAATGGGAATTGCTCTGACTTATCTTGAAGCCTTGAGGTAGGGAATGCAGGGTAGAAACATTGCTGGTTAGTTTCTTGCTTTAAAAAGGATGCCTAGTGCCCTCTTGTGTCTGATTCATGTAAAACATATAGAAAATATTTCCATTTAAATAAACCATGACTGCAAGAATACATATTCCTTGATCAGAAAGAAGAGGCCACACATACATACATAATCATTAGTTTCAGAATTAATACTCAGAAAACTTTGTTCTCAGTTGAGTCAGCAGAACTGACTCCCAATTCATTCCAAAACATTCCAGATTGTATTTGAGTTATAATGTTTAACAAAAAGCTTCCAGACTGTAAGCAATACCCACAGAGACCCTAAATTGGAGGGTTTTTAAGAGCTGGACAGCCATCTCTGGGGAAAGATTTCATTGGTTTTCTTGCACACTGCAGTGTTACACTAGATGGCTTCTCTGACCTTTTCCAAAAGCATCATTCCATGATTTAGACTTTCCTAAAGAACAAAACTTCTCACTTGGATGTTTACATTTAAAAGAAGAAACTAGCATGGAGGGATATAATGAGACCCATTTAGCAGGAAGTAAAACATTTAAATGGGTCACCTTTCAGAAAGTCCTTGGGTTACTTTTTAAAGCTCAACACATGTCTTTTGCAAAAAGCAAGCAACACTTCCATTTTCAAGTTGAAACATATTTGTCAGAATGGGGAACAATGGTAGTTCCTACGCATATCAAAGGAAAATACAATACAAAAACATGCTGCCTTGGATGGAGGTGCTATAACTTTTACAACTTAATCACTAAGTCTGCATTACTATTACTATTAGACTTCTCATCGTTCCTATCACCCATCTTCTCCCACTTATGACTGCAACTTTGTTGCTTGTATCCTTACAATTGATATGGATATTGATTTTTTCCTGACTGCTTATTTGTACCCTATGACTATCATTAAGTGTTGTACCTTATGATCCTTTACGAATTTATCTTGCTTTTTTATGTACACTGAGAGCCTATGCATCAAAGATAAATTCCTTGTGTGTCCAATCATACTTGGCCGATAAAGAATTCTATTCTATTCAGAAAACTTCGGGAGAAAAGATACAGTAATAAATGGGAGTTGAGTCCTTAAGACTGTACCGTTTTCAGAGATTTCACAGCTCGCTGCGCAAGCCAGCACAATCCTCTCTCTCTATCGTTTGGGACAGAGCAACTAAATTGCCATCATATTACAGCAACCTTAAGTAGTAGAGAGTCTCAAGATGCTACAAGAAAGAAAAAGTGTAAATCCGCAGAAGTCGGCCGGGATGCAACAGCTGCGAACTGCACGCAGGGTGCAAGTCAGAAACCGAGTTTTAACCCACTTCTCAATGTAAGTCGATTAAGTCGGGAAAGGGAGCGATGCTTCGGGAGCAATTCTGCTCCAGCCGGAGGGTGAAGGACGCTCCCGGGTTCCACGCAAAACGTGTGAAGTTGTAAGAGTTAAAAAGATCTAGAGCCGGATGGCCCGTTTGAAAAGCGCCTAAGTCCGGGAAAGGGTCAGAGCAGGGAAGCGGCTGCAGGACCAGCAGGGCCGCCCCGCCCCACGCCCCTCCAAGCTCTGGGCGTGGGGCGAGGCTGCTAAGCCGGGGCGGAGCTGGAGGGGCTCACCGAGCGAGGCCTTTCCCTGCCAGCCTCCGCAGGGAGAGCGCAGCATGGAAAATTCCACCGTCCCTCACCGGAAGCGCCACATATCAGGCCTGGCCGCCGCCGATTTCCAGCTCCAAATCAACGTGGGCACGGATGCGCCCCCTTCCATCCGCCCTTTAGGAATGGGCTGCCTCCCCCGCCCACCCCGACATCGGTGTCCTTCGTGCACCGGCTAACTTTAGCTAGGAGGACCCACGGAACTGCACGGCATCCGCCGGAGCCACAACTGAAAACTTTTGCAGCCTCGTTGCCCGGGGGGGGGGGGGGGGTGGAGCGTACAAAAGACAAGATAGTTCTCACGACTCTCCCTGCCCGCCTCCCACCCCAAACTAAGAGGCCGGGTGGCAAGATTCCTGCAGCTCCGGCCCTTGCTGCGGCCGAAAGACTCGCTTTCCCCAGCTTGGCTCGGCCGCTTTTCAGTTGATTTCCCCTCAATCATCTCAGCTAAGCCAAGGCCCAAAGTTACACCCGTGTTATATCTATATCTATATCTATATAGGGCAAGGTGGTTTGTGCACTCACACGTCCGCGCCGCTCATGCACCCCGCCGCTGCTGGCCACCAGGTTCCCCGATGCACCGCGAGTGCAAGCCAGGCTTTGCGCCTCCCCTTTGCTTTTCTCCTGAACCAATCAGGAAGCGCCGAGCTGATTCCGCCCGAAGAAATCGAAGAGATGAGTGGAACTTCGGCCTCCCGGCCCCCCGCGAAAAACCTCTTGAGGCGATCGCCAAGTGGTCCCCACTCTCGAGGAGAGGATTAATTGATGACAGGCGTTTCTACAGGAAGGGAGAGTTTTTCCCTCCTGCTTTTTGTCTTGAGTTCTAGAGAGTTATTCGATGTATAGCCGTAGTTATATACATCAATTTCTTCAACCCAGACCAAGTTCATTTCCCCTTCCCCGCCCTGAATCAGTATAAGGGAGAACCAAGAACCTCTGGTTCCTTTGTGATCAAGCAGCTTAAGATGCCTAATCAGGGAGAAGAAAAGTCTGAGCACTTAATAGAATAGAATTCTTTATTGGCCAAGTGTGATTGGACACGCAAGGAATTTGTCTTTGGTGCATAAGCTCTCTTGTACATAAAAAGACATGGTAAAGCTAGGAACATCCTTGTGTCAGATAGGTAATCCATTGAGTACTTTTTTCTGTACCAATTTTATTCCAAGTTTGGCCCTCCTAGATGCTGCAGAAATCTACCTTGCAAAGGAGACATTGATCCCACCGAATTAATTCTCCATAGTTCACAGCGAATCATCTCCCTCCACAAAGCTGCAGAGGTAGAGATGGGGAACAGTGGCAAAAGCCTTTAAAATGTTCATGTTCAAAAATCCAGATTTTTCTTGGCCGGGAGAAACAATGTGAATGCTCGATAAGATACAACTGCCCTATCAGCATCTAAGAAAATATACTTGGACTTTGTAAAGTACCAATATATCAAATCACCACCCTAATTAACCTGGGAATGAGGCAAAGGTATTGTTTCTTTAATAACTCGCAATGACTATTTTCCCCTCAGATTAACACAAGAACAAACTATATAAAATGTAATGCAAAAGACAATGCAAGTGTGACTGCAGCAAACTAAAATGAAACAAAGATTAAAGTTTCTCATTTTGTTTGTGTCTGAACATTAACCAAAAATGTCAACAAAAAAGACAGACAATTTCAAGTACACTGGAAGATCTTTATTTGGTTTTTTTTTTCTAAAATAGAAATATACATACTCCTATATACATATTCACTAAATATTAATAAACCCATAATCTGGGTAACATGATCAATATGCCTTTTGTCAGGTGGAATTCTCATCAGAAGTTAATATTCCTGCAAAAATTTATTGTATGGGAAGAAATTATTTCTGTTTTCTTTCAAAATTAAAGGTGCTCTCGTGTTAAATATTACTTTCTGGGAACTCAAAACATCCTGGAAGAAGTCAGTGCCCGTCCAACTAAAATTAACCTTGTAAATTATACACAGTGGGAAATCCATCCTACCTAGCTAGGAAGGGAAGAAAAAATATGCTTAAGCATTAATTAGGCAAGGAAATATGCTAATTGGATTTAGATTTAAGATGAAAGCACTATTGTGCCAGATAACAGTAACCCGAACCAAGGAAATTAAAAGATTTTTGACTCCTAAATCTTAATAGATTTCCCATTAAAAATGTTCCAGATCTTATAAAGAGGGATACACACTTTAATCAAATTAATCATCAACATCCGACATTAAAAAATGTCCTTGTGCTTATGTAGTTCTCTTCTCTCCCCTTTGTTCTTTCCCAGGTTATTGCTCAATGTCATCCAGAGGACCATCAGTTCTCCTAATTATTTCCTTTTTCAATTTTGAAGAAAGAGTAGCATTTTTATTTATGAACTGTAAAATATATAGCTTCTTTAGCTGATAGGAATACATTAAAAGCTGAGCTTTTGCAGAGAACCTCTGCAGAGATGATTTTTGTTTATTTTTTGTTATTTAATGTCGGAGTTTTTTATTGTAATTTTAAAGGTACTATGGATATTTTATTTACAATCTGCTTGTAGTCAGACTCCAGCTATACTGGTCCTATGGAGATGATCTGGATACTTGGCTGAATTTGACCCATTACCCCTGATGAAATGGACAGGGTCTATACCCGTTATGGTGAACCTATGGCATGCGTGCCACAGGTGACACGCGGAGCCATATTTGCTGGCATGCCAGCCATCAGCTGCGGTGCACATTTTTCGCCCTTCTGGAGGGCCTGGGGAGTTCATTCCCAAAATTCCGGTTGGCCCATTGGGGCTGTTTTTCTCCTTCCCCAGCTTCTCGGGGCTTTCCTGAAGCCTGGGGAGGGGGAAAAACACCCCCAATGGCCCAACCAGAAGTTTGGATTTTGGCATGCCATAAGAAAAAGGTTAGCCATCACTGATCTATACTATGAAAGAAATTAACTGACTTCAGGAGCACAAGTACTGGAGGCTCTAATCAATTTGATGCCCCACAAGCTTTTCTGCACCTATTTTAAATTCTGATGTGCATGAAGGGTTTATTGATATGCACAACTCATTTGCTTTCATTCCACTTCTTGTTCCATGCAAATAAGCAGAGTTTGTCATTTATCATGGAATGCAAACATGACCATTTGCTCAACAGGCAGAGAAAATGCTCCTTTAAGTTGCTGATGTTTGTTCCAAAGTCATGTAAGCAGGTATTTTACAGACAGAAACAGTGCTCAATTTGTCAATCAATATTGTGGACAAAACAATTAATTCAGATGCCTGACAGCAGTTCCATGGACTGCAGCACAGCTTAACTTTTTCAATATAAGAAATAAATAATGTGTTTAGACTGTGTTAGACATTCCAGGAAAAAAAACTAACTTAATAGAGACAAAGGAAAACATGCAGAACAAACAGCTTAAATATTTACTGTTAAGGGGTATATTAAGTTTGTAATTTAAAATATATTTAATTCATCACCATACTTTAGCAGTGATTATACTATTATAATAAGAGCATTCCTTTTGAACTTGCATAGCAAACCTATTTCTGGAGAACGTCTAAGCGCTTCATAAGCAACTCATAACTTTCCGTAAATGATTCTACTGGCTTTGGAAATCTTCCTCTAGCTTCACTGCTGTGCCCTTCTTCTGTTCCATTAGCTTTGTCCTCTATCCATCTCTGCAGTGCCTAAAAGAATTAGAAACTTTATTCAAAATGGGTATGCACAGTAAGAAAACAGAAAATACAGGTTGGCTATTTAATGTCAAGTCAAATTTCTATACTCATGACTTCTTTTTCACACACTGTATTGCTGATCAATTTTCTTCAGAGACACATTTCATTTCCTTAAAACAATGAAACAAGCCATATGTGGTAAACCAATCCTGTACATACAAGTAGTTGGGTGTGGCAGATTGATGGATTATTTTTTCAAAAAGTCTTGGCTTTTTTATAAGGCCACAGTACCCAGCAGACTTTCCTGTTATTCTGCTAAGCTGACTTTTGACTTGAGTCCCTAACTCTGCCTTGAATCTCATCATTATTATCACAGAATGGACACTGGTATCCAATGAAGCAATGTAACGGAATCCTTTCTGCCTAATCTGGATTTCTCATTTCTGCCAGAGCTGGAAAGAGCATCATTTAAAGCAGTTCTCACACTGTTAAAGGATACAAGGCTCCATCCTGAAATGACATACCTTGTATCTTTCCAGAATGCTGAACCCAAGAACAGACTGCAGCTTGCGCAAGCAAATAGGACAAAGGTCTAATGGGCGTCTATCTGATTCCTCCAGATGATTAGATCCCTGCATAACACATTGTAACCACTGACAGTGATGGAGCCCAAAGATGTGTCCAATCTCGTGAGTCAAAGTCTGAAACAGATATAGTCAAATGACAAAAGCCAACTTAAAATCACAACAGTTGTGCTGAATAAGAGCTTAATACTCCCTATAGCACAGTTAGCTAGTTTTCAAATCACTCTTTCATTGCAGGATGTGGAATAACTTAGATGTGCAAAATCATTTTATAATGGGAAAATTGATGATGGAATTCTTGCTCTGCCACAGAATATAAATGGAAAGAGTTCTACTTAAACCAGCCTTCTCATTATGTTTGACTAATGAGAGATTTTGTGAGAAAAGGTAGAAGTGGCCAGTGCAATCGACTGATGTTGGATTGCAATTGGAGATGGCCAGATGCAAAGCCAATTTCAACTATAGAAATGTGCTGGATGACTTTGGGTCAGGCACTTTCACCCCAACCTCATACTTTGCTATCTGAACACCTAGAGAAAAGGCAAATGATAAATTTAGCAAACAAATCAAATAAAAAGAATTTATCCCTTTTAATTTACCTTTTGACTTTTCAGTCAATATAAATATTAACCAATCCGTTTTAATCTTTTAATTTACCTTTTGACTTTTCAGTCAATATAAATATTAACCAATCCGTTTTAATCTTTTAGCAAAACAATATTTAATTCCATATAATTGTACTTACATTATTGTAAGATATGGAAAGCACAATAAAAATAGTGACTCAAAACAGATCTCAAGCTTTAACTTCTAAATGTTTTCTCTAATCCACAAGTCAATGATCTCCCTGTGCAACAAAGGATCCTCACATTTCTGCAGGATTTCAGTCTTGCATCCAAATGATTACATGAATTAATTTAATATTTTTGGTCTAGATTAATAATAAGAAAATAATCATCGAAGGAAATATTTTATTTCCTGAAAGAAGGGAGTTGTGGTATTCATATCACATATTTATCTTATGGTAGAAATGGTTTTTTGGTTTTGTGTGACACATTAACACATAAATAAACAAGCTGAATCCTCACAACCAGTTAGGTTAAAATGTGGTTGGCTAGGTTTGTGATGCCAACCTCATCAGCTGCTCTTTCCTCACCATGTACTTGTAACATCTTGCGGCATCTAATAATCATTCTGCTAAAATAGTAGCTCAAAGATAGGATTTATAATGCTGCAATGATGGTGAGTGAGTAATCTTAGAAGACACTATAAATCACTAGGGAGGGAATGGCCAATATCCCTTTCAAGTCATTTCATTTCTAAAGATGACAAAATTTTAATTATATTAAAATATTAATTTTAATTATACTGTTTATAATTATTTAGCGTATGGCATATATTAACTATAAAACTGCAGGAATAAGGGAATCTGATTGCTTGCAATGTAAATCTGAGGAAATATTCTTGAGAGATTTCCATGTAATTTAAGAAAAGTAAACTGCGGGGCTATTACACTTCCAATCCAGTCAAGCTTCCCAGGCTCTAAGCCAGTGTTTCCCAACTGTGGCAATTTCAAAATGCATGGACTACATCTCCCAACAAGCTGACTGTGGGATTCTGGGAGTGGAAATCGCCAGATCTTAAAATTGCTGAGATTGGGAAACAATAAGCACACGACCCACATGTTAAAAAATTTTAATAGGCTACTGTTCCTTTAATAAAAAGGAGCTGAAGTTGCTTTAAAACTAAGCAAGAAGTGAGGGTATTAAAACAGAAATTTGTTTTTCAATATAATATACATATAACTCAATATAACTCTAGTAATTTAAAACACTTACTTTGCAGGATCTTAGAAGCAGTTGACTTGTGATCTCAGGTGCGTAGTAATCATCAAACACAGAATAGTCAGCTGCAGGAAGCTTTTTCGTTGTTTTCAACCTGCCCTTGTAGTCTGCACTGTAGAAGTCGCTGTCATATCTGGCAAAGCTGAAGATCCCCACCCCTTACCAAAGCAAAGGGGAATTCAAATTAAAGTTGTACCAGCAGGAGACTGCTGCATTAACCATACATAGATATACATACCATATGTAACCAAAAAAATATTTCTAATATAGAAACCTTGCATCCCACTTCAAAGCCCCAAGAGTTGTGGCAAAGCTGTAACTTTTAAAATGACAGGAGGAAGAAATTATTAAATATAATAACCATATTCTATATTTAATTCAGGACTATTTAATTACATTTAAATTCAATTTGATCTTCGACACAACCACTTTTTACTGCCTAGCCCTTGGCATGATGCCAAAGCTAAGTGTTCTCCTTGGCTTGGAGAAAGACCAAATATTTAGGGGGGTGGGGGATCTTTGTTTCAGAGCAACAATCTCTTTGTATCTTGAAGTAAAGGTGTTTTCTCTTTCATCCCACCTGGGCCAATTCAGCTGCAAAACAGCCCACTCAGCAACTGACTTTAGAAAGGGCAGAAAAGTTTTCCAAAACACTTCTGCACTGGGGCTTAGCACCATCCTTTTGGAAAGGCAGATCAGAAGAAATGGGAGAGGAGAAATGGAGCCCAAGTAAAGACCAAAAGCATCTTAATGACATCTCATGTAGTCAGTTAATTGCCTCCTCTACACAATTGAAAAAAAGGACTGGGATATGAGAAATCCTTGGTGCTGTCTTGAGGTTGGTCGTTTCCTTGCAGACATTTCATTACCCAAACTAGGTAACATTATTAGTGCACAGTGGACATCAAAAAGAGATTGGACAACCGTTTGTCTGAAAGGGTGTAGGGCAGGGGGCCTATGGGTCGGATGCATCATGCACAGGCCACACCCACCCCAACTCTGTGAATGGGGAAAACGTCACAAAACATCATGTGACAGCAATGTGACAGTGAATTTGACACACGTAGTGTAGGCATTTCCTACTTGAGCAGGGGGTTGGACTAGAAAACCTCCCAAGTCCCTTCCAACTCTGTTATTCTGTTAAACAACCAAGCTCAGAGAGCACCAAGGCCCCCTCATTTCAACTCTGAGCTACAAATGTTCTCCTTTATCGGTAACGGAATATTATAAGATAACTTTATCACAACTCCTGTTTGTGCAAATAACTGTTTCAGAGAAGAATGTGTCTCCAATGAAACCTCTCCAATGGTTTCATGTTTCCTTCCAAAATATTTTGTTTGCAAACATATAAATTAAGATCTCCAATATATGACCACCAATAAAAATGCTTTACCCCATGATGGTAAATTAAAGACTCCTGTGCTTTATTATAAAAGGGTTTCAAATGTACCACCACTGCCCTCTATTGGTCAATGTCAGTACAACATAACTCATGACCAACAATTTGAAAACAAAAACATCTTCCTCTCCACCACAGATTATATATATTATTCTGATATTATTCTGATATTTATATATTATTAGCCTTTATATATTCCTTCCTGCAAACCACTGAGAACCAGGAGCCGGAATGTATTTAGTAATCAAACTGCAAAAGTCCATGTGTTCAAGTTCCTGAACTGTACAGAATAACCTCTGGGCTTTAATTATCTCCAGCAATTTGCAATAAAAATTCAAGCCAAACCCAATCCTTAAATATTCCTCAAGATAGAATGTCACTGCTCATTAGGGTACCTGTCAGTTTCTACATATGAATAGAATGCTTCTACACTGCCAAAGATTGTGGAAGATGATTCATATAATCAGAGCTATATTAGAACTCAATGCACTCTTCCAGCATGCTGAGGTTGGGATTGCACTAACACGTAACATGAATAACATGATCTTTGGGCTTGCCACTAAAAGACTTATTTTTCTGTGTGGAAGATCCTGAGCAGTGGAATCAGGCCAATCACACAGGAATAAAGTGTGATACCTGCATTTCAAAATTCTTTCCAGCCTACTAAAAATAATTTCTGGCAAACTATAAAACTATGGCTATACCAATGTGCAATCAAGAAAACTGCATGGATACCTCCACAAAGCCAGCAGAAAAGAAAAGTGACTGTAGTTGTTACTGTTACTTTTTAGTAGTGACATACAATATTTGCAATACAATGCATTCTGATGCGGCCTGAAGTTGCAAAAGCAGGATCCTGTTTCTACCTACTCCTCTAACACTGATAAACAAAGAATGCAAGGATATTGTTATGTTCAGTCAAGGTATCCTAAACTGCACCTGAGTTAAATGCATCTGAGCTAAAGGGTATCAGTTGGTGATGCCTAAACAACAAGTTATGACTCCTGCACAAAGTTGGCTTCTACTGAAAACCTGCAGATCTAGTTTTCATGCAGTGCAAAAATCCCAGTCTTTTGCACTTTTAGTAGTGTCACAACAATTCTCAAGTAATTTTTTCTTTATATTCAGAGGCAATTCTATTTCATATGAACTATGAAAAGATGATTGGCCAAAGTCGTATTATAAGTCATCCTGAGAACTTAAAAGGAAGCCAACCACATACCTTCTGTTAAGGAGGCTTGTCCAAAGACAAAATTCCAAGAATCCTTGGGGTAAAGATCTATCACGGTTATTCCCACAATGCAAAAAGCATCCTTTGGCTTTTTTTTCTTTAGGTAACTCAAGAGATACCCTGTATGAAAAACAGGTATCAGTGTCTCTCCACAGAAGTCAGTAATTGCATAATCAAGAACTGCAGCCATAACAGTAATCCTGAAATAAGAGAGATATTAAGATGACCTCTCCAAGTTACATATCATATAAGCAGGGGGAGAGGGGTGATAAGGACTATGAATTTAAACTTAATAATTTTGAATGTAGTTCCTTTAAAATGAATGTGAAATTTGCAGTTAAAACAAATCTGAGCATGCTCCATTGGTTTTATGATGGAGTTATTTATTTACCATGTATGTACAAAAGCACCAGCAAAAGGAAGAATCATACACCATTTCAGCCACACACATTTTGTATTCATCAGATTTTGGTTTCAACCCTCAGCATCCTTAAATTAAAAGAATTAGGTGAGATGGAATGAAAGATCTCTGATTCTGGCCAGGAGGAATAGATATCTCTACTCACAGAAAAACAAGTACACTGACTTCAAGCTTAAAAAACCTCATCATAGAATACTGTGTTTCCCCCAAAATAAGACAGGGTCTTATTTTGTTTTGACCCCTGAAATAAGCGTTTAGCCTTATTTTCAGGGAGGCCTTATTATTTCTGAGGTGCAGGGCGCAGCAAGTGGGGTCACCTCATGGCTGCTGCTGTGTTGCAATATTTTGGTGCTTATTTTTGGGGGACTGCTTATTTGAGCGCATTCGCTCAAAGCCCGATTGGGCTTATTATCCGGGGAGGTCTTATTTTCAGGGAAACAGGGTAGGCTATAGCTCAGCATATCAATACAAAGCAAATAAGAGCACAATACTCATGTATATATCTTTTATTTCATTTTCATTTTCATTTTC